TATTTAAGCAACGTACCGGCGGATTAGTAGTTAGGTGGGTGACCACTAGCGAATACCCGCTGTTGTATGTTTTTTGCTCTTTTGTGAGCTTTCTATACTGCAAGCTTTTTGCGGCGATTTGCGAACTCTACGCTGATACAAGAGATGGCGATCTTGTATGCATTTCGAGCCAGAATGCAAGTACAAGGGGGGTGCTTGAGCGGTTGGGAATACGAGTCTGCTTGCACTGAGCATCTAGCGATCTCCTTCAAGAGAAATACTCCGAATGTGGCAAAATTGTGTTCTTGTTCATTCAGGCACTCTCCTTGTACCATGGTTCTACATTCGCGTGGCGTTGATCCCGTGCAGGCAAATATCGTCAACAGTGTGATGATTGTCTCACCAACTCTATGTGGGCAAGGGTGAAATTTTACTATTGATAGAATCGATGGCCTCAATCGTTGGAGCCGCAGTACGTGAGCAGGAAGCATTCCACCAAATCCTGACCAAGATGTTGCGGCAGACGTAGCCGCTGTATAGTCGATGGAAACTGCGCTTAGTTGCTTGCTAGCTAGGAGGCGACCGTATATACATGCCCTGAGACGTGCTAGTCCAAGGTAGTCAACAGAGGTGACAATCAAGGCCTGTCGGACCGACTTGCACCGCAACATACTCTACTCGTTCATCAAATCCCGACGTTTCATGTCTGGAGACCCCCGGGATAAAATTTATGTTCTGCTTGGCGTTGCAAGGGATTGCATTCATGGAAAGAGCCGTCTCGCACCCATTTATGGCAAGAGATTAGTGGCAGAGACATATACACTAGCCGCGGTCCAAATCCTTGAAGACTCAGATGGCTTACTCCTACTATCCTATGCTGAAGGAGACAGCTTCTGTACTATCCCTTCTCTTCCTTCCTCGGTTCCTGATTGGAGTTGCAGCAAAAATCTCGGGCTTGAAGTCACTGGCTACCAGAGATATTCAGCTGCAGCTAAAACCTCCAGAACTCTGGAAGTCAACGAGCGGGATGGTTGTCTGACAGTCAAAGGCTTTCGACTAGATGACATTGCGTTGGCCGGGGAGAGCAAGCAGGACGTCTTCAGCGGGAACACCTTTCCTAATTGGCACCTAATTATCAACGCAATGCCCTCCATACATCAAATGGGGCAGTCTCGAACCGAGGTCTTCTGGCGGACTCTAATTACGAACACGGCAGGATCGCCTCCTTGCCATCCAGACCCATATAGCTACCATTCTGCATATGTCTCCTGGATCACGTCAAAACTATCGGGGTATCTTAAGGACATGGTCCGATACACTGGGGACTCACCATTCATAAATACACTCACGGCATGTGTAGCAAACGAAATTTTCGATTCCGTACAGTCTTCAGTCAAACTGTGGACTTCAGACAATGAGTGGTTGTCTCACACAATGTATCTTTGGCTGTTCTTGACAAGAAGGCGGTATCTTGGCGTAGGCTCTGAGTCGCTTCTTGAACACGACTCGGTATGGATCATTTCCGGATTAGTGTGCCGCTGATTCTTCGAGAGGTCGAACCTGGTACTTTCCGCACTGTAGGAGGTGCCTATGTTCACGGCTTTATGAAAGGCGAAGCTTTGGAGTCGAGCCCTATCCCCAGAGACATCGTTATAGTATGATGCACAGTCGATATTTGCCATGCATAAATCGCACAAGTAACCGCCTACCCTATCTTTTTCGCAGATGTCTCTTTCGTAGATACAAGTGCAAAATCACACCGAGACTGGCAGATGCTACGGTAAGGTCCTCGCCTTTAAAATTCCGAAAAGCTTCACCAGTCGAATTTTGGTTTCAGTGAGACCCCAACCGCATTTGCAATTCCATCATCAATCCTCCTCCTGTCTACCCGCAGCAGCGTACAGATTAGATTGCTCACGCTGGCCTGCGATATCGTCTCATCGACAGAGTTGCAACCGCTACTTCGTGGCTTCTTTAACCGGCAAGGACAGTGTATGCGGAAACAGAGTTCCCAAACTGGTCGAGCAACAAATGAATAGAATCCTCCACACTCTATCGTAACCTTCTTATGATCAGGCAGCCCTAGTTTTATAAGACAATGCTTCGCTTTGCGCATCAAGTCCCAATATACTATACCAAGCCGGCGCTCTTGTTTTTTACTCACTTTGAGGAGCGGCTACTGGGAAGCAGTGGCATGCAAGACCTGGCAATCTTTCGAAAGCGCTGGTGTGGCGTAGCATGTAGGTGTACTCGGTGCTTTGACTGAACAATTGCGATTCCGCGCCCGCGATGTATGGTACAGGAAGCTACATAATATACAACAAGTCTACGCCGCGGACGACCTCTCGACAAGGAACTTTGCGCTCTGCTCGCTCAACGGCGCGCCAACGGGAACACTTCTCTCCCGCCTGCGGTGCACCCTTCCGCGGCTCTTGGAGTCCAAACCCCTCTCCCACAGCGCGTACTGCACCACCTTCTCCAGACCGGTGCTGGTCCGCTTCTCCGTCTTGGTGGGCTTGCTGCGCCTGAGCTCGACGTTGCCCAGCATCAGCAGGTCACCGAGGTCGGCGCGCTTCTTGGCCGCGGCGGCCGAGGGGAGAACCTGCGTCTTGGCGCGCTCGCGCAGTATCTGGCCCTCGACGTGCAGCGTGCTGAAGAGCGAGGTGGGCGCGGGCTTGGCGGCGGTGCGCAGGTTGCTGTACAGGTCGCCCAGGGTGCGGGCCGAGGTGAGCTGGGGGTCAGGGATGCGGGCGCCGGTGAGCTGGAGCAGGCGCTTGAACAGCTGGCAGGGTGTTAGTGTGCGCACTCGTGTGTGGGGAATGTTCAGGGGGCTTACGGCGAACTTGACGGCGTTGTCGGTCAGGGGCACGTGGCGCCACATGACCTCATTGACCTGGGCGGCGGCGTTTTCGGCGTCCAGACGGGCTTCGCTGCGCAGGGCGGTGATGGCGTCGGTCAGAGACTGGGCGCGGGACTCGAGGTCGGCGTGGCGTGAGGGCGCGGGCGCGGAGGGAGCGTGTGTGGGCTGTACCGGGACCTTGTCTGCAACCAAGACGACTTCCTCGACGGCCTGCTCGACGACGGCCTCAGCGGGCGTCTCGACAGGCTTCGCGCGGGGAACGGGGCGGTTGGACATGAAGTCGAACACTTTGGCCGAATCCTGCTTGACGACGGCGGCGCGCTTGAACTCGGGCGTCGCGGGGTCCATGACGGGCACGGCGTCGGGCGCGGCGTCGACGACGAGCAGCTCGTCGACCTCCAGCGGCTCGTCGACCTCCAGCGGCTCGGCGGCATCCCACTCGGGCGTCGCCTGGATGAGCTTGAGCAGGTCCTCGGCGCTCCGGTGCGCGGGAAAAGCCAGCGCGAGCTCGCCCGAGGGCGTGTGGTGCAGCTTCACGTGCTTGACCCAGCTCGGGCGCCTGTAGACGCCCTGGTTGGGCAGCTTGCTCAGGTCGAGGTCGAGCCCGGCCTGCTGCAGCGTGTAGACCTCGGCGACGGCCTGTGCAAACGCCTTGCGCAGCTTGATGGGGTCGGAGGTGCGCTTGTTGACGCCGAAGCTGCGGATGTTAGCCCTTCATGCACGTCTGCTGTCGCTAGAATCAGGACTCGCATACTTGAACTCGGTGTACGGTCGGCCCGTCACGTGATGAACCGTCTGCGCCATCAGCAGATTCTCGTCGCGCAGCGTGTACGGCGTGCCGGTCCACTCCTCAATCTGGTCCGCCATGGCCAGACTCAGCGGCGTGTACGTGCGCAGCGTCAGCTTCTCAAACTCGCGCGCCATGTCGCCCTCGTCCTTGCGCGCCAGCCACGCCTCGCCGCCGACGTGCTTGAGCTTGTGCCCGTGCTTGGCCTTCCGGTACGCGGGAAACGACGGCGCCGCCTCCTCCTCGAGCACCTCCAGCTCCTCGCCCTGGTCCTCAGGCGCGATCCGTACCGGCGACGTCGGGTCGTAGGGGTCGACGTGGGCTCCAATCGGCTCGGATTCGCCCAGAAGTCGCTTCTGCCATCGTCGCACAAACTGCTGGTGCTTCTTCTTGTCCTGCTTGCCGGCGGGCAGGAGGAACGCGGGTGCGGGAGTCGATGAGAAGGCGCGCCGTGTGCACAAGGGCGAGGCCGTCCGTTGGCGCACTGTCGACTGGAACGCGGCCGAGGCGTCGATTGCCCGCGGGGCGCGCGTTATCCTGCGCATTGGGGCGGCCATGTGGTGATGGACGGCGTGCGATGTCGAGACGGCCATGCTCGAAATGTTCGTCGCCCGTCGCCGCTCCATTGACCAATCAGCGACCTGTAACTTCCGCCATCACGTGCATCTCTCCATCATCACCGCTCCTCCAAACTTCACGAGTTGAGTTGCTGATTCATATTATAAACGTACAGCAGGCATAGTCTGCGTGAAACAGAAACACTTTCTCACCTCTCACCTCTCACCTCTCACCTCTCACCTCTCACCTGCAAACCTCCGCCCCAGCCAGGTCGACCCTTTCTCGTCATACTCGGCCTTGCTGACCAGCACTTCCGTCAGCAACTCCGGCTGGCTCGCGAACCGCGCAGCCCCAAGCCAGCCATGTTTGACAGGATCCTCGGCTCGTGCAATGTTGACGAGATACTCGATAGGCACAAGCTTCCTGAGCTCAGCTTCTAGCCGTGGCATAAAGCCCTCGATGAGTGAGTTGCCTCCAACCACCACCATGTTCGCCAGCAGTCCGACCCTGAGCGCCTCAGGAAGACCACTGAGGCTCTCCATGACCGCACCTGGGATACCGCATTCTTGGATGCCAATGTCTGACGGATTGAACAGCAGCTCTGGGACAGCGAATCTCTCGTTGCCCAGTGGCAGCAGATCCTCCCTCGGCCCTTGCACAGGCTGCATGCCGCGTCTCATCCGTGACTTTGCGGCATCGTGGGGTCGTGCGTGCCCGTGTATCGCGTTCTCGTAGTCTGGCAGCACGTAGTCGACCACCACACTGCTGTCCAGCTCTCTTCTGTCGCCTAGGCGTCCTTTCCACGTCCGGTCGAGGTCCTTGGCGTACTGTTGCGGAGAGGGCGTGACGTATGAAACTGCCTCTTTGATCTCATTGAGGAGGTATGTCTCCTCCATCATGTTGTAGTGCCGTAGCGAGGACAGCTCCTTCATGTAATTTGTGAGTAACTTGCCGCCGACTGTGAGACGACGCACTGCTGATTGCAAAAGCTTTCCGTCGTATAGCGGTAGAATTGTAGTGTCTGTGTATGAGGTGTCGATGACGAGGAGGCACTCTTGCGGTAGCGGAGACGGCGATGCAGCGTCCGGAGAGTTATATGCGGCCATTGTGGGCCCTACACCGTTAGCTGTAGCACATATATGCAATGCATGATACGTACCTATGCAGCGATAGTACGCTGCGAACTCGAATTGCTCGAACACGATCTCATCGCAGTTCTTCTGCAATTCTTTAGGACAATTTGGCTTCTCCATCAACATCAGATTCGTCTCTCTCGGTTCACACTGCGCTCAGTCAGCTTTGTGTTCGTATCCTCCTTCCACCGGCGACCGCGTTGGCGTACCTACCCTCAGCGCCTTCCCTGCGCCCATGAACTCATGCTCCCATATCGCCTTCTCCGCCTCCCAATTGACGATGAACCCCTTCTCCACCGGTCGCCGAAACGCGAGCTCACCAAAGTCTTTGCAGTCATCGAGTTCTGACGCTGTGTATGTGCATTTGTCGCGGTGGCTGCGCGCAATGCAATTCGGTATTACGCTGCAATCATCGTAGCTTGGTGCGGTTGTGGAGTGGGTGGGGACGAGACCGGCTTTGAGTGTGTAGGCGCCGTTATCGAGGACGAGCGTTTTTTTGATCGCTGGCGCTGATTTACGTGAGCCCTTGGGTGGCATTGTGTATCGTTGTGGTGTGGTCTGTTGATGACAAACGCTTGGGGAACTTTTGGATTGGGAAGGCGCGAACTCGCGGTATCACGTGTCAAGACTTCGCTTCGATCGCCTCTTTAATCTCAAATCCCTCACACACCGAAGCTTACATGTTGCATCAAGCGGTGACATTACAATGAAAATTGAGTGCGGAAAAGTCATGTTTACCGTCTATAGCCGAGCGCATGCCTGCAGCATGTGCGGCTCTCTTTCTCGCAGCCTCCAAGCTCGAGTGGCTAAGCCCCAGCACAGCAACCCCCAGGTCCTGGGCGAGCGCAACTGGCCCTGTTGACTACAACGATACCATCACCTCCTCCTGCTTCGGGAAAAGGTTGAGTATTCACAGGAGCTGTGATAATACTTCGCAAAAATCACTGTGCTGCTTCACCTTCTGGAATCGATGGGTTCGAAGTGATTGCAGACGGCTTGCCCACCATTCGTCGCCTCTTCGTCAATAGGTCAATCAAGTGTAAAGCTATGGAGCAAATTGTTGGTAGCCTCGCCCCCGGTCCACGACATGTATACAAGACCTACCTCGCCCGTCCTCCTCTAGCAAAAGGCCTCTTTGACCGGACTATTTTCCGAGTCGGAGAGTCCGAATGACATACTGTCCCTACTGAAGATCACTGCCTATGCTTGAGTCATCTGCATCTTTGACTGTGACAGGAGCTCATATTGTTGGTGTTGGGGAAATCTCTAGGATGATCTTACTGCACTGAAGCATCGTCTTGTGTGAAATCAGAAGCATGACAGAAGACACTGGCCCCAAGTCGAGTGGTATGACATAGAGACAACTATGCAGCGGTTTTTATGGCAAGACTCAAACGTTGTCCCCGTATTTTGAGCTTGTGGCTAACGCGGGCTCGAAGTGGAAAACATCGTATATTGACATGATGAGATGCAGCTTCAAAGGGCAAAACAGACGTGTCGGAATGTCCTGAAAAGTTTATCGGCAAGAGAAGAACGTTCTTGAAAAGACTTTCTCTACGACTCCCCAGAACACGGCACCATTCGCCTCTTCTTCCTCCGCATTCAGCTCCTGCACAACTTTGCCCGGGTAATGACCACCCGATTCTCATTGACATCGTACTCCCTCAACACCGTTGTGGCTATGACCTTGCTGGGTACACATCGTAAAGAAGCATGCTCACACGACTGGCCCTTACGTGACAAAGTGACACACGTCTTCGCCGTATTTATTGGATATGTCTATGTCGCTTTCCTGATTCTGCAGTCCATACTCGCCTTCGGCAACTGCTTTAAATGGTCAAAGAAGACATACAAGGCCCATTTTGTAGTTCTTGGTATGATCCACTCCTATTTTCTGATCCTGACCGTCTACCTCATTTACCTCGCCTTCAGCTCAAGCCTATTGAGGATCAGACCTCACTCGCCTCGGGTAAAATGTGCTTCGACGGGGTCTTTGGCGGTAAAACTGGTTGGTGGTACCTCGAATCTTGGCACATGTCCCACTCTTTCCCACAAGGTCTAGTCCTCACGAGCTCATACAACAGAATCTTAGTGGTGTATACGCTCAGCAATCGGCACGAAGTAAGCTGGGAAACAAAGGCGTCTGATGTCGCCGAGATCTTCCATCTACACAGATCGTTGCTGGTTGAAAAGAGTTGTCAAGGAGATCCTGCACGAGCCGGAACATATTAACGGCAAGTTCGGGAAGGTGATCAGATGAGAATTAACACCAATCCTGGCAGGAAACAGGAGACCAGAAAAGAAAGACACAGAGAAATCGTACAAGAGCTTCAGAACTGGTTTAAAGTACTCGTGGCTGCTGTTAAGCAACGTCCTGATCTTGGTAGCAGCAACTGTCAATTTCACCACTGTGGGATTGGGGTAAGTTTGCCGCGCAGCAAGAACTATAGAGCGCTACGAACAATTCCTAAAACGTGTAAAAAACTCGTAAACCAATGCACTTGCAGATTATGCTGTGGGTGACTACATTCCTGCCGCTGATCCAATTCTTCAGCTTCCTGTGGTTCCTGGGAAGGGACACGCATAAGGTTTTCGTCGGGAGGAGAGTCATGATTGGGGCTGCATCAGCCGTATTGACGGTTTCTGGGAGATGGGGTACGTAGTAGGATGTAATAAGTCTGATTCAGGAGTGTCTCGATGAAGACAAGGATTCATCCCTTCGACAGTATACGCCCTTGCCTTATGAACACCGCGTATGTAAGCGTTTGAAATTCCTAGGCCGGGAGATTGTCCGCTTTGCTGAGTCGTCTAACGTTGTCTGCCTTCCTGTCTTCTGCAAGGATTGAGGCAAATTTACTCGCCTTCCGGATCTCCGGCCCTTTATAGTAAAAAACGTAGATCGGCACAACAACAAGACAGGATAATCCTGCCAGTGTTGTGGTTGCTAGCTCTGATGGACGGGTTTGGCTGAGGTTGTGGTACAGAGGCGCTGCGTACATTGCGGATATACCAGCGAGGAAATCGCGAGCGAATGCATTGCCACCAGTAGCAGAAGCCGCGTACGGGCCGTAGGCTGCAATCATGTAGTCGACGGACGAGTAGTAGATGGCGAAGTTGGCGAGACCCACTAAAAAGCTAAAGATGAAGGGCGCGATCCAATGTGTCTGTGGTGGTCCAATGCAGGTCCATCTGTGGTAGTTAGCACTGGGCTCGAATGAGGGGAGAGGGAAGGGGGATGGAACTAACGCAAAGCCAATGAGACCAATGGGCTCAAAGATCGCAAGCCACAACAAAGGCTGCAGACGTCGTTCAGGCGCGTAGTAGTCGGGGCCATGTCTCTTTATTCGAGATTCATTTCGCCAAAAAATGGGATAGTACAGGAAATAGGTAAAGACGTAGGACGCATTGATCGGAATAAACGCCCAGGCAACCTGAAGGGTGCCGAACCCAAAGTTGGTTGGGTATGTGATCGCGAAAGCCTCCAGAAACGTGAAGATCAGAGCATCAGAGAAGCCTGAGAGAAGAGATAAGAACAAGACGATAGGTTCGCGCACGAACATCTCGAAAGGCCGCAACCAGATCTTACCAGCTTCCTTCAGCGAGATGCGCGGCTTCTTGAGCTCGTTCGGGCCGTAGATGTTGGGGTCTTCACCACTCTCGCGACGTCGCTTCGCCTCGCGATCCATCAAGATTGTGGAGCGACTTTCGGGCATGAAGAAGTGCACAGCTTGGACCACAACGCCGAAGATGAGTTGGATCCAGAAGTTCCACTGCCATGACAGGTCTGATCATCATCATTAGTATGCTGCATGCTTGAAAATTCCAGTTGGCAAGCTACACTCACATTTCTCGATAGGACCTCCGATCACGCCTCCGATACTGGTACCGATCGTAGAAGATAAAACGATGAAGAGCAAGGGCCAGTGCTGGGTTTCCGGTTCGTAGAGATCAGCGATCAATCCGAGCGTAACGCTACCTCCCGCTGTAGACAAACCGCCCTGGGAAAGATCAGCATGGTCAATGCCGTACATTCGAGTCAACTTACAAGGGCTCGACAGACGACGATAGTGGCGTAGTTGGGTGCGACCGAGTTGGGAATTTGCCAGATGTTGATGAAGAACAAACTCAGCTGCAGAATTGGCCACCTGCCAAACTCCTCTGACCAAGGAGCCCATAGCTCGCAACCAAACGAGTACATAATTAGGTAGATCATCTGACCGACTCGGGCTTGCTGATCGCTGATGTCGAAGTGTTCAACCAAGGGTTTGACGGCACTTGGGTAGACCGAAGTGTTGAAGTTCATGGATATCTGAATACCAGCAATTGATGAAAGATACATGGCCTTCTTCCACTTTGGCCATGAGTAGGCCAGCCTATCCCAGCAATCCCATTCCTTCAGTTCGCGACGGCCCTCTGCGTCAGGAATCGCGGGTGGGCGCGTAGACGGATGCGGAAGCTCGCTGTCTTCGAGGTCCTGGGGACTGCTGTTCGACTTCTCATCGTCGCTCTTCTCGCGCAATGAGTTGGGCCGCATTGTTGCTAGCGTGTCTTTTGCAGAAGATGGTTTTGAAGAGGCCGGTGTGGGGGATGACTGTCTGGATTTCTCCTGCCCGAACATCGTGACGAATCTTGGGCGAAAGCTTCAGTACACAACGGGGTCAGAAGAGGACTATTGGTTCCTTTTCAAGCAAGGCAGTGAAAGAGTCTCCGCAGAAGGATTTGCTTAGGTTGATTCTAATTCAACGCCCAGCACAACACCATCCACCACTCCACTCTTCACGGTGGGCCAGGCCGATGTAAATGACTGCAAAGACAAATGAATTATGCGTCTGTCATTTGCAGGTTGCTTGGCTCAGATTTTCACAGAATCGCCGATGTGCTCTGTGTTGCAGAGTGGAGACCTTTGAGGTGTTCTTGGGCGATCATGGTTTGTTGGAGAGTGGTGGCCCGTTTATATGACGAAACGTTCGGGTGTGTTGCGAAAACTTCGACGTTTATATTCCTCCTCACCAGCTGCGTGGGAAGGGGCATGGCAAATCTCATGCGGCTGAAAATAAGCCCTGCCACCAAAAGCCAAGCGGTGTTGAGAGGCAAAAAGCTCCCGAGATCGTGCGGCAGAAGTATTGAACTTATGTCCCGCGGATGTGACGTCAAGCCGGGGGCGCGACCCACGCTGGGCCAGGCGAGTTTAGCCGCAACACCAATTCACGATCGTCACTTCTTGTGCATTTGTCGAATTCCGGATCCCATCTGTTGCAACCCCCTCGAGTTAGGCCCTCAGAGCCTGTGCGCTTTGGCTGCACGATGGGCCGGATTGCGAGTGGACAGGATAATCTGTGGAAGAGGTGAAAATGTGGAGCTGATCGTGGAGGTATTTATCGATCGCGCAAAACCTCAGTAACGGTCTTGGCAGCTCTGTCACGCTCCATTGCCACATCTGATACGTCGTAGCAGGATGTCGCATGGCCATCTTCGGGAGTCTCTTTCGAGCCCTCAGCAAGACCAGTCTGCAGTGAAAGAGTATCAATTCGGAGCTCCCGCAATGAGTGTATGTAACTTGTCCATAAGATCTTTCACTTTGAAGGGCTTCTGGACAACGTCATCCTATACCATGGTTAGTACGATGCTATATTTCGCCCATAAGAGACAAGTACCGAGCCAGCTTCGATTGCTGCTGTGATCTGCTCGTCACGGACGTTTGCAGTCACTGCGATGATCGGGAGATGTTTTCGCGCTCGTACTCCTCTTGCCAAAGGATTTCCAAGAAGACCCTCACCATGCAGCTCTTTCTGCCGTATTAAGCGGGTAGCTGACAGACCGTCCAAGACCGGCATCTTGACGGTAAAATTAGTACATTCTCAAAAGCTGCTTGCAAGCATTGTACTCACCTCGGAATCCATGAGTACGGCATCGAACGTCTTCTCGTCTAAACTCTGTAACGCTTCGAGCCCGTGATTAGCGACTTCAACCACACATCCTGCTTGTCGCAATTGCTTGCTTAGGACCTGTTGGTTGATTATGTTGTCTTCTACCAACAGGACATTTAGCCGCTGTGTCGTTGGCTTGGAGCCCTGCTCTATTGACGGCTTAGTGAGTATCACATGTTCTGTTGTCCTGCGACGGACTTTTATATAGAATCCGAAAGTTGTGCCCAGCCCAGGCACAGAAAACACCCCGATCTCACCACCTTGTTTCTCAGCAAGCTCTTTCGAGATGAATAGACCGAGTCCACTGCCTCCATAGGTCACATGCGTCTTGATATTGGCTTGTGAAAAACGTTGGAAAATCTTAGCAATGCCGCCACTGTCCATACCAATCCCGGTATCCTGGACAGTGAAATTGAGGAATATCTGTTCCCCTGTGCCCCACTCTGGACCATTCATATCAATGCTTGGTTTGCTATCGGCCCAGGTCATGTTGTCAGGAAAATAACTCCGCGGACTCGACAAGCTCGCGCCGTACTTGATTGTTATGGAAGGATCATTGGAGCCTTTCACAAACTTGATGGCATTCGTGAGCAAGTTGATGAAAATTTGTGTAACTCGGGATGGATCCAGAGAGACCTGAGTGACAGAAAGGTCAGACATAGATGGATCGGCGTCGACTTTGCAGCGAATTGAGTTGCTTCCCAGCTCGGCTTCGAACATGCCTACAACAGAACTGACCAGGCTTGAAGGCGCAACTGGTGCTGGTGTGATGGACAGCAATGTCGAATTGAGCTTGCTGAGCGTTAATACGTCGTCCAGTATACGTCTCTGGTGCGTGGCACATTGCAGGATGATCTTAGCCTTTTCCTTATTGTCTGCGAGGGTCGCAGAGCACTCCGCTGCAATCCTAGCGGAGCTGTGCTTCTCGGTCATCGCAACAATGGCGTCGGCGCAGTGCATGATAGCACCCAAAGGATTTCTCATCTCATGAGAGACGAAATCGACGAAAGCCTCCAGTTGTTTCTTCCCTTCTCTTGCCTCCATCGCTGATCGAGCATGGAATTTCTCGGCCCATTTCAACCGAGAAATATCAGTGGTGCAGGCCATTATTGACCGAACCCGACCGTTTGAGTCGCAATAAGGAAACCCAAGAACCTGAATGGAAGCTGGCATCTCCTCGCCAGTTGGCGCTGTGTACGTCCGCTTCAGGCGGAACTCGGCATTTACATGTTCCATACCTGAGATAAGATTGTTCCATAGTCCCTCCACCTGTGGAAGGTCCTCTTCTAAGTAAACATCGTAGAAGGAATAGTTGGCTAGATGCTCATCTGCACTTCTTCCTGCAAGCTGGAAGTAATGCTCGTTGGCCCAAAGCATCTGACCTTCGTTAGAAACGTGGCACATGCCCACTGATGCATGGTTCACGAGATGGCGAAGCTGGAGATTAGAGAAGGCTAGGTCGGACTCGAGCTGCTTGCGACGACTCTCAGCAAGCTCGAAGTTCACAGCCGCAGAGAATATGGTGGAGACCATGTGGCTCAGGTCGGTTGCAAACTGGCGACAGGCGTCACCAAAGGGCCTGAAGGGGTTCAAGCCAATGACCAGGTATCCAAAAGTACGATCGAGGCTTGTGATGGGCAATATCGCGATTTTCTCAGACGGCGCCCCCCATCCTTGCCAAGACACGGATCGAAAGCGCTCGTCAAAGTTGATGAAGCAAGGCCCGCATCTCGCACGTCGTAGATCAGGAACCAGTCCCTTGCTGCTAGAGAGCTCTGCAACTTTTACCAGCAATTGGTGTCCTTCAGGTAGCCCAATGTGACCCTGCAACTCGAGTGTAGTCAGCTCGGTGTCACCTCTCACTTGATATAGCATGGCTAGCGGCACATCGTAACTATTTGTCGTCAACGTGGCAAGGACGTGATCGGTGACAGCATCGACGTTTTGGGAGGGAACAGCAGCAAGTTTGTTCAACATAGATGTGCGACGGTCGGCAAGCTTCTGTTCGGTGACTTCAAAGGCTGAGTTGCTGGAAAGGAATGTCAGCCTTCAGCATCATGGCAGGGCAAGTTCACAGCTTACTAGAAACCCAATGGACGATCATGCGGACCTATGGGAACAAAAGATCCCGAAAAAAAGGCCTCCTCCTTCCACCCATTTCGCTCAACGAGTAAGGGCGCATCCGAGGTGACATTTTGCCCAACACCGGTCTTTATGCTTTCTTGGCACATCGCACGAATTTGAGGCCAGATTTCAGGAAAACTCTCTGCATACGTCGAGCCCATAAGCGTGGGGTGCACTCCGTGGCACATTGGGGCGAACGCGTCGTTGTAGATGGCAACATACTCCGGTCCCCACCACAAACAAGCGGGTCGCGAGTCTGCGAATACAAAGTTTGCGAACAGTTGCAAAGTGGAATCCCAATCTTGCAGTGACCCCAGGCCATTGCGAGTCCAGTCGGTTTCGCGAAAGAGACGTATGTGATCTGTATCGGCAAGATTCTGTGTCCAATCGTAGCGAGCGGCGCCGGGCGCTTCTGAGGACCCGCGGGGTTTACCGTCCATCAGTGGCAGCGATGTCTGCTGCTGTGCGCTGAGATGCATGGACCATAAAGTTTCATGGGACCAGTCCTCGCAATTGTAGAGAGGTAGATGGTGGGCGCATGATGGGAAAGCGGGAGTGCGCGCTGCGAGGACTTCAAGCTACCTACTGAGCTACCGGTACCTACTTTGCGATCGGCTACCGTGTCCGTGCGCACAACGCCCGGAGTCACACAACGCCCGCTTTTTACTAGTAAAAGTAGCAAAATCTAGCATCTTTAAAGCTGGATAACTCTTTATCTAGCTAAGAAATAGAAGTACTTTATTAGAGTTACTATAACGTACCTCACGGGCGAGTGGCCGGCCCGGGCGAGTGTCCGGATTTTGCCAAGACCACACCAAACTTCAACTTGTCTTGCATATTACAGCAAGTTACTGCAAGTTACTGTAACTTACAGTATACAGCACTAATCTACAGTATCTTGCGCATCTTTTATGCACGTTCGCGCGTTGTGCCCTGCCTTACTACACCTGCTACAGCGTTGTAAAGACTGAGTGCCTGGTTCAACGCGCCTCTTCTTGCTTGCCTTCTTCCCATCATCACGGGCTTCAAACTCCTTTAGGGTAGTTAAGCGCACTCCTTCACTAACAGTAAGAGTCCCCTCCCTCTGGATCCGCTTCCTCTTGTGTGATTTACGGCGTGTGGCGGCCTCATTAGCAGCTTGAAGCTCTGCGACCTGGTTGCGCACTAAAACTAGTGAATGCGCCATCATCTCTGCGCCCTTAGTGAGCTGATTAAGAGCATTAACTATTAAAGTTAGAGAGCTATTGCCATGTTGTTAAATCCTCTCTTTAATAAGCTTTGATTGCGACCTAAATTCTAGGGTGTTCTGTGGGGTTTAAGAGTGCCACGTACTCTCATCTATAGTAGGTAGTGGTGGAGTACACAGGCGCACTTCAAGCTTTGATATTACAGCCTCTGGATTAAAGGGGACCAAGCCAGCACCTCTAAATCCTCCCTAGATATTGCTCCTAGTAATAGAGGCATCAAAAGCTCCTTTAAAGCACGGTAAAAACTCAAGTTTTGTGATGCAAGTAATCTTGTTGCGCATTAGCAGCTCAGCTTGGCGACCATAGGCCTTCTTCATTGGGGCAAAACAACCCACGTCAAGCGGCTGCAACAGGTGCGATGAGTGTGGAGGCATACACAAGGTAACAATCTTGTGTTCTTCACAGTACTGGTAGAACTCAACTAAATTATGGCTCTCATGGCCGTCCAGAATGAGCAGCCGATGGCTGCCAACAGTGCGCTCCTTTGTGTGCTCATTAAAGTGCTTCAGCCACTTAATACTAAGCTTGTTATTAGTCTAGCTATTCTTAGAGACAGTGATAACCTAGTTGTGAGGTAAAGACAGCTCCTTATACCAGGCAGAGAGGTGGTGCTTGCCTTAGAAGATAACAAAGGGTGGGATACTCTATCCTAACGCGTTAATACCCTGGATAATGCTAGTCCACTCTTGGTCGCCCTGCTGTACTGTCTTTAGTCTTCCACAACACTCTGAGCCTGTAACAACAGCTCCTGTTAATATAACACCCATCATGAACCTAGACTTGTTAAAATTGTAGGTGTCTTCATCTAGGATACTATACTTGGCTTTAGTATTCTCCACCAGGCAGAACTAGCCCTGGATCACCTTAGGATCCTCGCAGAGGGCTCTCTTGTAGTCGTACTTTTGATTGAACTTGACTGTGAGCTCTGGGCGACGCTTGACGAACGTGCTAGCCCAGTTCTTGCCAACAGGAGGCTGGTGGCGCTCAGTGAGTAGAGAGTTGGCCATATCCTCCACATCAGTAAGCCGGGGTGGGTATCCTCGCTCGTCCAGCTTCAGAATATGCTGCACAATCACCTCCTCTTCAGTGCTTGTCAGCTTCATTGAGTTGACCTTACAATCGCGTCTTGAGAGCGTTCCAGCACGTCGTCGTCTTAGCGTTCTTTCTGACACCTTGTAGATTGTTGCAGCGTGTGGAATAGTAAGAGTCGCGTCTTGTTTAAGAGCCTGGATTGCAAGCTGTATATCTGGTTCCTTTAAGACGCTTTGAGCCTTTTTGCGTTGAGACATCGCGGGTTGTATGAAGTTTGGTGTGGTCTTGGCAAAATCCGGACACTCGCCCGGGCCGGCCACTCGCCCGTGAGGTACGTTATAGTAACTCTAATAAAGTACTTCTATTTCTTAGCTAGATAAAGAGTTATCTAGCTTTAAAGATGCTAGATTTTGCTACTTTTACTAGTAAAAAGCGGGCGTTGTGTGACTCCGGGCGTTGTGCGCACGGACACGGTAGTCTACCGTGCCCCACCCCGTGATGCACGCCGACGCGTAATGCACGCGAACGCCAAAACACACCAATATTCTCAACACCATAACTTCACAGCGGCATGGATTTGGAGCCTGCACTTGAAGCCTGTGACGCAGCAGATGCAGCTGGTGAGCTTTCGTACATAAAAATTGCTGACCAAAGCTTAGTGTCGCGATCCACCCTGTCGCGGCGGCACCGAGGCGTATGCGCGTCGCGTGAAGATGGGAACTCCACGCGTCAAAAGCTAAGCCTACATCGGGAAAAGTTTTTCGAAATCTGGCCCAGACTGGCTGTTGCTGACAGTCGTGGCATGGTCGTGCAACGGCCGTTCAACAGCCCCAACGGCCCTAATTTGCGCCTAACAGCCCTAATTTCGCGCCAACGTTGCTAACAGCCAAAACGCTGAGTGCCTATATTTAACAAACTTAAAACAACATTGCAATGTTGTTGCATAGCTACCCTTAGTTCTGCTAGTACTAGTATTAAATATTCAAAAATTGCGAAATTTCATGCACAGATAGAGCGAAATTGTAGCTTTAAAATGAGCGAAAAATTATTGTTGTAGGCCTACTACAACGCGAGTTATAGAGCGTTGAAGGTTTGTTTGTTGAAGGTTTGTGTTTTGAAGTTGCAACAGCACACCATGGCAGCTGCAGCTGCGCCAGCACACAACACATCAGCTGCAGCTGCAACAGCACACGACGTAGCAGCTGCAACAGCACACAACAAAGCACCTGCTAACAAGCACACACTGCAGAACAGGCAGGCCTAGGCATAGAATTCTTAGTTTACCTACTATTCTTGAATAATATTCTTGTATTTTCTAATATTCAGGCTGCTAGAGCCCTAGCGAAGAATCTTAACTTACTGTCTTAGCAAGGAATATTAAGCTTAAAACCTTCTACGCTTAATAACTATTCTATTAATAGGCCTATAATATTGTTTAATAGCTTATTTTAAAGAGGAGACTTAGTAGTATATTAATATAATAAAAGTATAGTTTATTAAGCAGAGCTACTATTGTAGCAGGATTAGGAGTTGTTGTGGCCATTACAGCCATTAGGACCGTTAGAGCTGTTGGCTTAAAATTGGCTGGACATTGAATGCACATTAAATGACCGTTGTAGGCCTACAAGTCCTACTGTTGCCCACAGTACAATGCCACGATTTCCTGATTTTGACAACGGAAAAACTTTTCCTGATGTACAACAAGAGTAACATAACGTAGATTATCACCGAGCTGGCCATATCACCAAGCCAGCCATTTTCTCTTAGCACGACTAACACAAGTTACTACAACTACAACTACTTACTATTAAACAGTGACCTAGTATACTGTGTGCTTATATTAGATTTAGAAGATGTTTCTGTGCCCTCCTAGCACGTTTGTGCGTTGTGTCTAGTCTTGCTGCAGTTCCTATAGTGCTAAACAGTTAATTAAGCTCCTAGTTAACTACCTCTACCCTAAGTCTTCTTAGATGGCTAAGCTGCTACAGACGCCTTAGCAGCTACCTACAATGCTGCTAGGCTATACTTAAGTGTGCCACTAACGTACTCCACAAGCATGCCGGTCACCCAAGTGTACCGGTCACTTTTGCCAAGACCACACCAACACTATAACTACTTTGCAGTACTATAGTACACAGCAGCATTCTACTATGCTACATAGTATATTGTACTAATCTATAACCTGTTTTATCAGTGAGCGCCCCACCTCAGTGAGCGCCCCACGAACACCAGCGAGGCGTACGCGCAGCGACGTAGCTTAGCACCACAACACAAATTTTGTACTCTTGCAACAGTATAGTATTATTTAGAAGCGTCGCTGTTATTTATATCCTTAATTTCTACCTTGCAGGTGCGAGAGTTGTGCCCAATCTCACCACAACAGCCGCAGCGTCGCCCTGCGCGCACCCTCTTCGCCAGCTCCTCACCCTCCTCACATCTGCCACCCTCCCTTTCAGCAATTAAGTCTGATACCTCGCCAACTGTCAATGTCTCCTCTGCCTGTACGTAGCGTCTCTTGCGACTTTTACGCTTTGTTGCTGCTTCAGTAGCAGTATTAAGGCGCACTATCTCTGCGCGCATTAACACCATCTTATGAGCCATCTGCTGCGCGCCTTTTGTCAGCTGCCGCACCTGCTCATTAAGTGAACTTGCTGGAGACCCTTGATGGATTTTCATCCTGTTTTGAACCAGTGTTGATTGCGCCTCTATTTCTTTAGCGTTGCGTGGTGTTTTCGCCTCCCAAGCGGCGTCGACTTGCTGTGGTGGAGTTTGCGTACGCAGCTGCACATCCAGCTTTGATAACACAGCCTGTGGATTATGTGGAGACAATCCAGCGCCTTAAAACCCTGCGCAAGCATTCTCTCTTGTAAACGCCTTCTCAAAAGCTACTTTAAAGGCTGGTAAGAAGGTCTGTTTGCTGATGTGGTTGATGCGATTGCGTGCCAAGGCTGAGATCTGATCACTGTACGCGCGCTTTAATGGCGAGAAACAGGCGACGTCAAGCGGCTGCAGGAGGTGCGACGAGTGTGGAGGCATACAGAGGGCAATTGTCAGATGCTCGTACTGTGAGCCAGAGTATGTGCTTAACGAGATCTTAGGTGGTATAATGATATATTGATGATCGTGGCGATGGTGTTTCTGTCGCCGTGGCGTCGTGCTGGTTGCTACAGGATTGAAGTGGGGGGAATTAGCGCTGTTCGCGGCCGCCGGTGTGCGGGCCAATCAGGAGTTGCCAGGTCTCGCTTAATCGACCTAGCAACTGCTAATTGGCTGCACGACAGGTCCCTGCTCGATTGCGCAGATCTGACCTCTCGCCGCTCGCTCTTATCTAACACACCCCCTTCAGCTTAGAAACTCTTCAAGCTAACCATTTATGCGTGTGTAAGGTCCTTAATTTGTTCTTAAATCCTGTCTAGAGGCACGCTGTTTAGCACTTCTGTTAACTCCCTGTTCACCAGACTAAGTTGCTGGAGGAAACCTTCCCACTTGTTCACTAGGAGTACCTTTGTGAGTCTGTCTGCTATCATGCTCGCAGACTAGACGTGTTCCATGATAATCTTTCCAGCGGCCACCTCCTGTTAGAGCCAGTGGTTGTGGATATCTACATGCTGAAGTTTGGTATGTAGTCACAACACTTCCTTAGTGACTAGTTGAATTGTTTGTTTGTTGTTGCATTGTATTGTGATGGCGTGTGCGCCTATATTAACGTGTAGTTCGCGCAAGAGCCTTAAGATAAAAAGTGCTTCTTTTGCAACCTAGGTGAGAGCGAGAAGCTCAGCCTTAGTTGTTAATGTTGTTACTGTGTCCTGCTTGTTTGCTTTCCATGTAATGAGGCCACCAAAGAGTTTAATTGCGTAGCCTTAGGAGCTCTTTCTGTCTATAGTGTTGTCAGCGAAGGACGCGTCACTTGCTACCTAGAGGCCAATGCCTCCTCCAAGCTGCAGTGATCGCTGTTTAGTGTTGAGTAGATATAGAAGGACCCAGTCCGCAGCATCTTGGTGGCTGATGCCTGGATTAGTGAGGAACCTGGCAAGCCTTAATGTGGCGAACGCAATGTCAGGTCGCGTGGTGACTGCAGCGAACAGCAGTGATCCAATTTTGCGTTAATACTTGTTGATTTCTGCTGGCGCTGCTAGTCCACTCCTTGGCTGTAGTTTAGTTGTTGCCATTGGAGTGTCATGTCGTATAGTTATGTTCTTGGCAAGGCGACTGATTTTGTCTGAGTACGCTGCCTAAGATAGGTAGATTTTCTTGCTTGCTTAGTCTCGTATAATCTCTATGCTAAGGAACCACTGTAGGTCGTGCCCTCCTGTGCAGGTGTACTTGCTCTGTACGTGGCTAATTGTCTGCATTGCCTCTTGCTCTTTTAATTTATTGTACGTGAGGATGATATTGTTAATATAAAAGAAGATAATAATACCACCCTTAGTTAGACAGCAGGGTTCGTAAGGCACAGTCTGGAAACCTAGTGCTTTTAGTGTTGCAGTGAAGTTCTTCTGCCAGAGGAGGGGAGAGATGCGCAGCCCGTAAAGTGCCTTGTTTACTTGCAGTATCATGCTGGGCTTCTGATAGCCTCGTGGCATTCTTATGTAGACCTCTCTGTCCATTGTAGCATGAACAAACACGTTGGTAACGTCGTATTGTTTGAGCTCCATGTTATAGTGAGCTGCCATAGCCATCATTGTTTGAAAGGATTGGCTGGCAAGCGTGGCTGCGTAGGTGTCTTGTGATGTAATATTGCGTTGTTGATCGCCTCTGACTACTAGTTGCGCCTTGCACTTCAGCAGTTAATAATGTCTATTAAGCTTATAGGTATATACCTACATACAGTTAAGGATCTGTTGTCCTGTTAGTCTAATTTTCTAAAGTAGTACTTCTAACTATAATTTTATTTCTTAGTGGCTTGCAAGGTGCTCTTACTTAGCTTCTTAAAAGAGTTTACCTATAGGGTGATCCTTAAGCT